TGGGTTTTAAGCCTTTAAGCCCATGCCAGCCTTCAGCCCCAGACAGCTGCCTGTCAAAGCACTCTGCAGACAAAGTGCATCAGGTGAACAACCTCCTCCTGTTTTCAACTTGCAACCTGCTTGTGCCGTTTGACAATTCCTCCCTCTTGCATTGCAGAAATGAGCTACTGAGTCCTCTTCACTTTCAGAATTACATTGCATTTCAGGCGTTTCTATCGTGTTCCTTTCCTCCAATTTGAAACTCCTTTAGTTCTGTCCCATCCTTTCAGTGACAGAGACCAGAGCTGCACACTGCAGTCAAGACAGTCCACGCATCCTGGACCTACAGAATACTGCAGTGATTCTCCCTTGTTCTGTTCTCCATTTTTCCTAATAATTTCTAATAGCCTATTTGCTTTTTCTTGACAGCCACAGATCACTGAGCCAGCCTTCACTTTCAGTTATCAGTTACAGAGCCAGTATCTCATTCCCAAGCCAGGGGAGATTCCATCACTTTGTGCATAAGGATCTCTTCTGACTTGTTTCACCCTATTTTTAGCTATGCAGAATTTTATCAGTCATTTTATCATCCATTTATTTCTTCTCACATAAAGCCCACAGAAGTATCTTGGCAGGCTGAAGAAAGGAGCAGATGGGAATGTCATCAAATCAAAAAAAAAAAAGAAAAAAAAAAGGGAAATGCCAAATTCTGCACATGGGGAGGAACACCTCCAGTACTTGTTAGGAGACAGCCAGCCAGAAAACAGCTTTACAGAGCAGTACCTGAGGGACCTCCTGGATGAACTGAACAACCCGCCCTCAGAAAAAAAAACCTGCTGCATTAAGAGAAGTGCTGCCAGCTGGCTGCATGCTGCTTAGCACTGGTGAGGCATCTGGAGGTCACTTCTGTGCAAAAACTGACATAGAGATTCTTGCACTTAAGCACAAGAAGAGACTCAAATATTGGGCCAGGTTGCCCTGAGGTTGTAACATCTCCAGCCTGGCAGGTATTGAGCCCCATCCACATTGCAGGGGAGCTGCAATGGTCAGTCTCCAGGGATGCCTGCCAATCTTTACATTTCTAATGTTGTGTAGTAGCTCAAATTCATAATAAACACTGTTATTTCACCCTTACAGATTATTCCCAAGGTTCTTAAGAAGGGTTCTAAGCACTGTCCTTGGTGACTTCATCCTTTGAAACTGCTCACTGCCTTGCCCTCTGCACTTCCTAGTGGGAGAAGCATCCTCTAAGCACCTCTCTCTGCTTTCAACTCGACTCTGAAAATAAGTCTTTGTTTAATGAGTGCATCAAACAAAACATGGCATACATGCACACCCTGCCTTCAGAGTGCCCACGTCCACTTGAGATCACTGCTGAACACCCAGCTGTTCTCATACAGTGCATCGACCTGCAACAGCCTCCACATACAACTAAGATGGAATTTGGTCTGGCTGACAGCGGGGCTCAGCCTCTACACATATACCCCAAGCAAGTCCAACTTCCTTACACAAACTTCCTGTCCCCAGTCACAGCCTATATAAATGCTGCTGCCAACCAGGCAGGAAAAAAAGAAAGCCTTCTAAAACTTGGAAATCACACTCCACACAGAGATTCAAGCCTGGTGAGCAAACAGAGGAAATACAGCTGTTGCAAAGTTCAACATCACTGCTTGCAGAATAGGACCCCAAGCCAATTTCCTTGTAATGTTGGAATTTTTAAGTCTGTTCAGCTCTGACATCTTGCATTGACCTTCTGCTACTGCTGAAACAACAAGGAAACAAAATCTCACTACACAGAATTGTTTCTATGGCATTATCTGCAATGGGGTTAACGACAGTCTGACTGAAATGCCATCTGGGGAAAATGGATTTTTGAGGCAGGTATGCAAGATTTGGAAACATTCGGTAGGGATATTCTTCAAGACAATCTGCACAGCTGCCACACAGTGTTGAAGTAGTACTTCTGCTACTGACTATGCTGAGAAGGCACCAAAAAACCCCACGCGACTGACATAAAGCAACTCCTTTTCATAAGAGCCTGTTCCCTAAGAGCTATAAAATCTTCACAACCAAGAAAAAGCTTTGTTAAAAAGTTAGGCTACAAATGTTACTCGAGGCTGGGAACTTATTCCCCACTTCCCTTTTGAAAAACTGGACTATAATTCTCTGGGTATGATCTTGCAACCAGCTCCTTGTCCAGCAAACAAGCCATCAAATCCAAACCTTTTCAATGCAAACAGAAGGATGTTGTGGGGTACTGTGTCAAAGGTCTTGCAGAAGTTCAGAGACATGACATCACTGGCTCCTCCCTTGTCCACTGATGTAGTTAGGCCATGGTACATGGTTGATTTTTTGCTCTGCAAGTCGTCATGATGTTTTTAACAAATCACCAAAAACTCATGCTGATCTGACAGTCCTTGTAAGCTCACCACTGACCTTCATCCAGCTCTGAAAGCTATACAAGTCCCTAGGAACTAAATGACTGCCCACCATGAATGCACGTATCCAAATATGACCTCTTACAGGTGTGGCAAATTCCTCTGGAGCGCAGTGTTTCTTCTTACTGGCATTTCATGGATTGTGTAAGCCACCCACTCATTTCACAAGTTGATTTTAACGCTCTGCCAGGTTAGATTTTGTCTGATTGATAAATAACTGATGTTCAAATAGGAAAGGAACAAAGTGCATCAACCTGGCTAGTTTTCCTGTTTGTTTCCTGATGTACACATGTAAAAATCAACAACAACATACGTCAACCCTCCCCACTCCTGCTTTTCCAAGCTCGTGACAACATGCACGTAGTTTCATCTCTACAGCACAACGGTCATGTTCTTTCCAGAAAGATGATCATTCTTTCCAAGCATCTATATCCCCTTCTAAAAGCAAATGCAAAGTTAAAAGCAGAAGTGAGGTTAACTCTACTTTGGAATAAGCTAATTACGTATCTTCCTGTTACAATTTTTTTGTCTTCCAGGAGAAAGAGCAGCTGTAGTGACAGTGCTGAGGAAATGCACTTTTAATTGGTTTATTATTTTATTGAGGATCTCAGCAGATGCTTAAAGCAAGGCTGCATTCACAGGCTTACATATTTTGAGTTAAGGAGGTCTGACACGCAGTATGTTTTTTGTTGCAGTATTAGCAGCACTGGAAAGCCCTTTCAGGTTCAGAACACTAAATCCACCTGCTTCTTGTGACAGCCTTACAGTTGCCATATGGAAATGAAAATGGGAAAGACAAAGAGTCCATATTTAGAAAAAGTCCCCACTGCTCTGCAAGGAACAGAAGCAACAGGAATTTCCATGGGATAGCCAGAAAGTTTTCTACCTTACTATAAAACACCTGGAGATAGCTAGAAGGCTGAAAACCAGCCTTAAGCTTATTAAGAAATCCAGCTTTTTCACTTGTCTTCTTATTTGAGAATTAAACATTTATCAGCCACGCAGTTTCAATGTAAAAAAAAATCAGCACACCAATTTCCTGTCCATCTTGCCTCACGCATTCTATAACCATGTATTGACTTAACTGCCTGTTTCTTTTTTGCTTTTTTTCCTTTTCATTTTTAAAGAAAAAAACAAAACAACCTGGTCTCCTGATATCAGAGGGAATATTTTAAGAATTACATTTAGCAAGCTGTGCACAACCACTGTATTCTATGTTTAAAGAGAAGCCTAACTCGTGTATATTTACTGAGTCTTCTACACCTGTGTTTACTCATCCATCGCAGTGACAGTAGAACTGTGCAGCAGAAAGGAAGGGCAAAAATGGATTACAGAAGAGTCAAACTGCAAATTATTTCACTCCAAGCATACGCAAAGCTTTGTGCTTGGATGCACAAATGCAATAATCAAGAATTAAGAAGTTATTCAAAATGCCTCTATGTTGCAATATTGCTTCTCTTCTGCCTCTATAATCGCATGTTCCTCTGAATATACAGGAAGTATGTTAATAAACAGTAAATTAATGAATTTATCATTATCTTCCCAGAAAAACTGCTCTTTTGTGCTTAATAAATGCTCTGAGACAAGGAAAGAAACAATTCCTACAAGATGCAGATGTATCACACTGCAGTCCACTCTTCGTTCTACATAAAATACAATGAAAAAGCAGTGGTTTGCTTGAGTATTTCTAAATCAATACTGCAGTTCTTACTCTCTTATTTGCTCCTCTGCTTACCAATAAACACAGCAAAACCTACACATTTTTCTGTGTCCTTAAACAACAGCTTTAAGGACAACCCAAGACTGTCTCCAAAAGAACCAAACGTAATTCTGCTCTGTTGTCATTAGAAGACATCTTTACTGAGCGGATTTTTAGAGTCCCTGCAGGACACTTGGTACCTTTGCTTAAAGAGAAATTAATTCTGCATTTAACAAGTTTAGCAATTAAATATTAATATCATCACCCCAAATCTTTTTCTCTCAATTGTCAAATGAGCAAAGAAAGCATCTAATACTGAAATTATTCTACACTTGCAAAACTTGCAGTAACCAGATGAAGATTTGTTCTGAGATGTTCTGTAGGGACAGACTCTTCAAAACTGCTACATGCTTTCAGTCAAGAGCTGCACTGTCTCCGAGTCAGACTGTAAAAACTAGGAGAGTGGTATATACAAAAGAGAGGAACCCAACTTCTCACATCCCATCAGCGTGTGGAGGTGCTCCCGTGTTCAGTCAGACATTTATCTGTATCTATGAGATTCTCTACTATGGGATGTGAACTGGAGAATACATGAAATATAAAATTAATGCATTCTCAAGACTAGTGATTTAATAAAGAGCCAACATGCAAGTGGTGCTTACTTGGCTCGCATGGCATCAACATAAAATTAAATGCAACAACTCTAACATGACTCAATCCCTTTTAAAAAATGCTTCACAGCCTTCTCTCCTATGATGGCAACCACTGATGACAGTTAAAAAAAAAAAAAGCAAGAAAGAAAAGCAGGACCCTCTTCCATTTTCTCTTTTTGTCACTAGGCAGTTCTCAAAAGCATATGGAACTAAGAATGTAGTCAAAATTACCTTAATAACCAAGTCAAACTTCTGGTGCAAATCCCTGTTTATTGGCTTCAGGAGAGTGAGTTCAGCTGTTGTGAGGTTCATATGGAAATACTGTGGATAATCCTCAGGAGTACCTGCCAAAAAACAACACTGGGATTTGAGCTAATCTGAAAGATACAGTTAAACAATATATCTTACTCATTAGTCACCAAAGAAGCAAAATCCAACCTTGTTATTATAGGAGTAAAACATCTCATAATTTGTACATGTGGCTTTACAGTCCTGCAAGCAGTATGCCTTTAATCATATCACCATTTCATTATTCCCTCTAGTAGAGAAGGTTCTTGCCAACTGGGAATGCCCCAGCAGTCAATAACAGCAGGACCCCAAATACACCCTCAGTGACAGTTCTGCTACTCAGATTCCAAGAGATAGGAACACATGCAATCAGCTAAGAGGACATACAGAGAAATGAGCCTGCACTGCAGATCTTTCTCCTTCTGCCATGCTTCTGAAACCCACCTTTGTTAAATACGACAGAAGGATGTTACCACTAAGCCCAAGACAGCCATGCTACTGTTTGAGGACAGATGAGATGATGATTTTAGCCACAAGCATCTCAAAGAAAGCACAGCAAAATTCAGCAATGGTGGAGTGTTAATTGCCAGAGGTGGATGAAGTCATAAACATGTCATACATGGTTCAGCAACAGTTTCTTGACTTCCTGATAGTTAAGCCTATAGCACATTTTTCCTACAAGATTAAGGTCTGCTCTGTCCTTGCTTGTCTATCAGCAGACTTCATCCACCTACCGTAGTCATGTGCAATGTCCCATTCCATTTGGGTTTAATGGCCCAGCTTTCCCCTCAGCTGGCCTGACTCCCAACTGGGAGGATGTGAGAGCCTAGATCTCAACAGAGCAGGGTTCCAAAAGCCACATTGTAGTGCTGATGCCTCAATAAGTCCACAAAGCTCACGGGTCACTGTATCTTAAAGCAGCCCCAAGAGCAAGACAAATACTGTCACACCATACCCACAGCACTGTGTAACAGGCTGTAACATTCAACATAAAAAAGATCACTTCACTGATAAATGAAGCTATTATTGTTCACTTTTGAAGTAGAATGATTAGAAACTGCTTTTAGAAAGACTGTAGCTTTCCCAGGAGACAGATTACTGCCCAGATTCATGTGCAGTAATTTGATTTGCACATCATGATATGATATCCATTTGCTGTATCATGTGTGGGTATATATATCATAGAATCATATATAGGGAGACACCACAGAATCCTACACACGTCTCATAGAATCATATATATACAGAGGCACACACATCCCACAGATATTCAGTGAATTCTGAGTATATATCAATACAGACTGGAGAGTAGTAGCAGGAACAACAACAAATCTAGAACCATAGAATGGCTTGGGTTGGAAGGGTCCTCGAGGATCATCAAGCTCCAACCACCCTGCTGCAGGCAGGGCCACCAACCTCCACATTTAATCCTAAACCAGGCTGTCCAACCTGACCTGGAACACCTCCAGGGATGAGGCATCCACAGCCTCTCTGGGCAGATAATTTTACTTTAACACCACCAACAGAAGTGCAGGGTTTCTAGGTCCAGGTCCTTTTTTCACTCCTTTCAGTTTCAACTCCTAATTAACAAAAACAGATGTTTTAAGAACAGGGGACAGATACCAAATTACTGTAACCTTAGGAGGCTGTGTATCATATGGGTTGATACTGATGCTGAAAATCAAAAAAAACGAAAGAGTAGATCCAAAAAACCACTAAGAAAGAAGAAAGTAAGGTTCCTAAAAAGACAACCAATAAACAGGGGAGGATGGAGATGGCTTTAAGAAACACTAAGTGATCTGCAGTGCAGGAGGAGAAGCTAATATTGTATAAGGATAATGGGAAATAATCTAGGAGAAAAAAAACACGTTTAAAGGAGGAAAAGAGAGCAAGGACGACGATCAGAAAAGAACAGAGATGGTTCCACAGTGAAAAGTAGGAACTTATTATTTCAAGGAAAGTTGGTACTTCCCAAGGAACAGACCCGAGAAAAGAAAAACTTAAAAATATTGGGTAGGCTTTCAAACAGGGCTAAGCTGTACAAAACAAGAGTAGCACTGGATTGTGATTCAGTTCACATTAGTGAAAAAATGAGGCTAAACTGCAGATGAGTGTAAATGGCTGAGTCCTACCATGCTTTTACTTCACAATACAGCCAAAGGGAAGGAACTTGTATGCCAGGCAAAAGAGGTGGGTTGGCTGCACTGACTTGTAAATTAAAATTCCTTACAGTTGATGAGTGTCAAAAAATCATGCATGAAAAACAAAAATGCAAACATAAGGTTTTCAAGAGATCAGGCTTAAGAGGTGAACTACTACATTACGGTTCCAGTTCAGTTCTCTTATCTGAAGCACTTCTTTCATCATGTCCATTAGGCAATACAGAAGACAACCACCCCAGCAGCACTTGGTTGTAACTAGTTCTCTATTTTAGGGTGATCCTTTAAGAATATTGAAGACCTGTTTTTCTATCGTTTCATCAATATCAACTCCTAACTACCCGAACAAGTACATTCAGACATCATGATCCATCCTCTGAGAGGACTGCACTCAGGTTAGAATGAAAAAGCAGGCAGAAAATAATGGGGTTGGGCTGTTTCTTCATTTCCTAAGTCCTTTACCCTCAAGCTATTGTTGTCTTTGGCGGTGTTATGCTCACATCAATGTAACAAGACTTCCACAGCATTTATCTCATCGAGAAAGTCTCTTTCCAGTGGACTGCTGGGGAACCTGCTGTTCTCCAAAGTGGAGAGGTTCACTTGCAACCTCTGCATTTGTTGCAGGCAGCACTGCAGCATGTACCTGAACGCTTGAAAGGCCAGTTATCTTGAAAGCATGACAGCCAGAGATTTTTATCAGCACTTCAGGACAAAGTTAGAAGGCCACATGATGTGGAAGTGAGCTCTCACTGCAGGGATGCAGGGTTTTGTTAACAGAAAGGTTTCTTGACAGCATACCCTTAAGATACTGAGAAAGATGCACAGACTTCAGATATTACATGCAGTGCCTAAAGAACACACTGAGACTTGACTTATACTGGAGTACAGGAGGAGAAAGCAAGCAGTGGAAAAGAACCACCAAATTAGAACACAGAAGAATCAAACAGAATTCCAAATCAATCTCATATTCAGTAAGTAGCTTATTTTCTCATTCTGTGTGCACAGTTCAAACCTCTAAGTGTTTAAATATATATATTAAAGAAGAACTACATTTAGATCTAAAGCAAGGGAAAATCCATATAACAAGAAATATCTGCAAGGCCCATTTCTTGAAACTACTTAAAATTTTCTGCAGCAAAGTCTACAATATAAATAGCACTACATACTTACAAAGATGAAAATGGACTTAAAATCTAAAAAGAAGTACTTCTGAAGACCAAGGCTCAAAAAAGGGGGAAAAAAAAAGTAAGTGACAGCACTTCCAGTGAACAAGCAAAAGAAAAAAAAGAAAGAAACTTCTATAATACATCTTTCTGCGTTATTTCTCTCAGGTCACAACAATTATTCAAACATTAAAAACATCACAGGTTAGTGAAACACAATCTTTAAAATTAAATCCTGAAGAACTCTGCAAGTTACTTTTAGAACTTTAAACAAATGGACTAACTGCTGCCCTTGAGCATAACTGTCAATAGTTAAACTTACAAATAAACTAAGAAAGAATTCAAGTATGAAAGCACCTTTTGTATTTACTCTGCAAATATTTACAAATTTCCTCACAAAATAACTTTGCTGGAAAAGGAATAGTTGAGGTGGTCCTTGGACTTCTAGACTTGAATCCAGTTACAGCCTGAAGGAAACGAGTTGCTTTAATGGGTATCCAAACAAAACCTGAAGTCTGCTGTGTTGAGGCTGATTTGATATCTCTCTTTGTGCTGGGAGTAGAGCACTGAAAAAGCCTCAAGATCAGCCTGTTGACAGCAGGATGGTCATGCTCCTGCACTCACTCACAGACCTTGGGACCTGCATGCTCACTGCAGTGCAGCTGGAAGTTTGGAAAAAATGGTCCCAAGTGGCTGCATGACCTCGCTCTGAGATGTGCAACCAACTTAGCCAGGGATCTCCTAAAACCTGAAAATCCTGTGCTTTAGGGCTTTAGGACCTTGGGAACCAAGAGGAAAAGGAGGTGGTGTGAGTGGGAATCTTCCCACTGTGGATCATCCCCAGAGTCTAGGAGCCAGGGAGTATTGCCAGCTTGAAGCAACAGGAACCCTGGGATCAATGCTGAGAAGGAAAACACGAGAGATCCACAGGCAGCTGCTCATTTTGGAGGGAAAAAGACCAACATATCATAATTACCTAGAAATGTGTTGCTATTCATAGTCATGGTGGACTTAAACATTGATGACTTCCTATGACCCTAAGCACTGGCCAGCTCTATCTTGGTATGGCAGCCAAACTTTTGTTTTCTCTTAAGATCTGACAATGTCAGACACACCAAATAACCAAACTTACTTTTCCCCTCTTTCACAACAGAATTCTAGTGCATAAATTTTCTTTTTGATTGACAAGGAAAAATTATGCAATATCCTCATTAAAATATATACTTCCATAGCAAGAAAGCCACGTAGCTGCAGTTTAAAGCAGCAAACAGGAGAAAAAACTTTTTTCCTGTTTTTCCTGCTTTTATAGAAACCAAACCATTTCCCAGTTCCCATGCTAGTTGCAGGGTACCAAAAATACTGCTGTGTTCTCTGCTGTGCAAAGAATGGGGCAGGTGGAGGACTGAAACTGCAAACCACTGCCTTAGGCCTCTCTATTAGCAAATCATACAAGCTAAAGAACTGGAAACAAATTCTGAACAGAAGAAAATAGCAAGAGAAAAACAAATAGTAGAATGCCAAACATTCTCCAGTGAAGTATCTATCTCTGAACTCTTTCTATAAGCACACAGGCAGCAAAACTACTGTTGGATGCAGTGAGATCCTTTAAGCTGCTCTGTGTCAGAAGACTTTTGGGAGAGACCTGCTCTCATTGCCTTTCTCTAGCATCTCTTACTGCACCTCTGCACCTGTGAATGAAAAAAATGCACTGAAGAACAGCTGTGAGCACAAACAAGTCTTTCTCCTTTTGCTTGCTGTGTTGCCCTGTCGGCTAAAACAGACAATTATGAATCTAATCTGAATAAATAATAATAAATAATGTAGCCATTTGAATAAGCTGCTAAATAGCAATTAAATATAAATAGGTAGAGCAGTGAACTCAAACATCCCACTAACCACAAAATGAACTTTCATTAGGCTTCCACACTCCCAGTCAATCTTTCTCTGGTCACAATAAAGTGATTATGAGTGATAGCAAGAGTAGCAGACACCAACCAACTAGGATGGAATAGAGGATGCCCGGTCGATCAGAAGGAGGCTGGATGTTTCGGTCTTGATCTATGGCTTGTATGGGTGGAGTGACACTGATAGGGTTCACATGTGCCTGAAATGAAAAATCAGACAGATTTCAAACAAATTAGAAAGCCAATAGGCAGGTTCTTTAGCTTTAGTACAAAAACATCCCACTGAAATTGATATTTGCTGAAAGTGTAGGAGAAAAAGAACTCGCATTTAAGAGAATACTTACAGCACAGGTCCTAGTAAAATAAAAATTAAGTAGATAGTGATCTTCTATGTTTTGATACATTTTATACTATAAAGATATTTTCAGAGAAAGGCTCTAAGTCATAAAAGTCCAAGCAAATGCTTAACTACACTGCCACAGACAGTCCCTCGAATCAGGTATTTCAGACATCATCACAGAAGTGAAATACAACAAATGCTTTAAAAAAGGAAACAAAAATCTAATTTGTTGTAAGAATATACAGTAGAACATAAATTCAAGTCGAAGTACAGACACTGCAAGGACAGCACATTTGAAAAGTTTAGCTGGACATTGCAGTAACTCACACTGCAATAACTGCCAACATTATGGATAATAACGCTGGGATTGTTCAGTCTGGAGAAGAGGAGGCTCAGGGGAGCCCTTACTGCTCTCTATCACTACCTGAAGGGAGGTTGTAGTGAGCTGTGGGTCGGCCTCTTCTCTCGTGTGACTGGTGATAGGACTAGAGGGAATGGTTTCAAGCTGCGCCAGGGAAGATTCAGGCTGGATATTAGGAAATACTACTTCTCTGAAAGGGTGGTCAGGCACTGGAATGGGCTGCACAGAGAGGTGGTGAAGTCACCGACCCTGGAGGTGTTCAAGGAACATTTGGATGTTTGTTGAGGGACGTGGTTTAGTGATAACCATTGGTGATGGGTGAATGGCTGGACTGGATGATCCTGTGGGTCGTTTCCAACCTTAGTGATTCTATGATTCTATGATTCTGGGCTCAAGGCATCTGCCTACTGGCACAGAGCTGAGACCTCCTTGCTTCTGCCTCTCCACATATGTCAGGCACATCCAACCTGCACCCTGAATTTGGCCCAGCCCTGCCCACATGCAGCCTACTCCCAGCCCCAAGTCATCGTGGCATCATGACTTCCACCCACTGAGTGGCCCAGGGTGGCTCAGCAACAATCAAACATTAGCGTTATATTAATGTTGACTGGCTCAAACCATGGCATGAAGAGGGAACAGTGCAGTGCCAACTCAAGTTATGGCAAATTTGCACAACTGTACATATTTTGAATCACTGGCTGAACACAATTCAGCAGAAAAATATGCACACATGCTTTTCCTGTAACTTGTTACTGATCTCCATCCAAACATGGAAACGCTGACCACCACTCTCTGAACTCAATCCTGAAGGCAGTTCCTCATCCACTCAACAGTCCACTCATCAAATCCCTATCTTTCCAATTTGGAGAGAAGGATGTTGTGGGGTATTGTGTCAAAGGCCTTACCGGAGTCTAGACAGATTACATCGGTGGCTCTTCCCTGGATGCATTGATACCGTGATAAAAAGCCACCAGGTTGGTCAGACAGGATTTGCTGTTGATGAAGCCATGCTGGCTCACCTGTATCACTTCTCACTCTTCAGTGTGCTTAGCATAGCTTCCAGGATCATCTATTCCATGCTCCTTCCCACCATAGAGATAAGTCTGACGGGACCGTAATTTCCAGGATCACCCTTTATACCCTTCTTAAAAATGGGCATGATGCTGCCTTTTTTTCTGTCAGCAGGGACTTCACCTGATTGCCATGACTTTTCAAATTTGGAAGTGGCTTGGCAACTACATCTGCTATTTTCCTCAGACTCTGGGATGCATCTCATTGGGACTCATAGACGTGCGGATGCTCAGGTTCCTCAGGTGGTCATTGACCTGATTTTCACATACAGTAGGAGGGATGTTATTTCCCCAGTCCCCTCCTGCAAACCAAACATTTGAGGGCTGTCTGGTGAACAGTTGTCAAAAAAAAACGAGGTAAAAAAAGTTGTTAAGTAGGCTTGGACAGGTACACTGTTTGCTGGGTAAAGAACTGGCTGGAGGGCCAGGTCCAAAGACTGGCGGTAAATGGAGTTGAATCCAGCTGGCAACCGGACACAAGAGTGCTCCCCAGGGGTCGACACTGGAGCTCATTTTGTTTAATACCTTTATCAATCACCTGGATGAGGGGATTGTGTGCACCCTCAGTAAGTTTGCACATGAAACCAAGTTGGGAGGAAGTGTCAATCTGCCTATGGCTAGGAAGACCCTTCAGAGGGATCTAGACAGGCTGGATTACTGGGCTGAGGTCAGTGGGATGAAGTTCAACAAGACCAAGTGCCGGGTCCTGCATTTTGGTCGCAACAACCTCGGGCAACACTGCAGGCTTGGGGCAGAATGGCTGGAAGACTGGATAGAAGAAATGGACCTGGGATGCTGGTCGATGCTCGGCTGAACATGAGCCTGCAGTGTGCCCAGGTGGCCAAGAAGACCAATGGCATCCTGGCTTGTATCAGACCTAGTGCAGACAGCAAGAGCAGGAAGACGAGATGGTTGTCTTCCTGTACTAAGCTCTAGTGAGGCTGCACTTTGATTATGGTGTTCAGTACTTGGTCCCTCACTAGAAGACAGACTTTGAGGCCCTGGAGCATCCTTGAGGTCCCTTCCAACACAAGCCATTCTATGATTCCATGATAAAGCAGCTGGTGAGGGGTCCAAACCACAAGTCTTATGAGGAGTGGTTGAGGTAACTGGTATTATTTAGTCTGGAGAAGAGCAGGTTCAGAAGAAAATTCAGTGCTCTCTACAGCTCCCTGAAAGGAGGTTGTGGCGAGGTGGGAGTCAGCCTCTTCTCCCACATAACTAGCAACAGAACTAAATGGAAATAGCCTCAAGTTGCACCATGGGAGGTTCAGATCGGTATTAGGAAAAATTTCTTCTCTGAAAGAGTGGTCAGGCATTGGAATGGGCTGCCCAGGGAAGTGGTGAGTCACTGGTGTTCAAAGGTGGTGAGGTGTTCAAAGGAATGCTTAGATGTAGTACTGAGGGATGCGGTTTGGGGGGCTGAAATACTGGGGATAGGTGGATAGTTGAAATACGTAATCTTAGAGATCTTCTTCAACATTGGCGATTCTGCGATTTTGTGATTCTGTGATTATCTGCAAATTTTCAAGCAGAATGTGAAGAGTTGCAATCAGATATTCGACTCAAAATTCTGATCATGTCTCTTTGCCAGGCTTTTATAAGACCTCTCTTACCAAGAAGAAATATTCCTCTCTTCACAGTCACACCCTATTCACGTCATCTCTTTTGGTGGCACGCACATTTGTGAACAATTATTGCAAGGATGAAGCAACCTTAACATCAAAAATCTCTTGAGAATTAAGAATTGAAATCACTTTTATTGAACCAGATTCACGCATTAGTTTCACAATAACAAAGTCAAATATCCCACCAGCTCTATGTTATTGTTGCTCATTTTTCAACATTTTAATAAAAATATTAAAAGTTTAAGTAATGTATGTAAGTAACACATTTTAACTATTTGATATGTTTTATGATGGCTGATCCAAAAGTAATGCCTCTTGTTTTGCTACGTTGGCTCACGATGTCAGAGGTGGATGCTGGTGGTATGGCAGTAGAGGCTGAATCTTCCCACCAATATCCCATCACATTTTGTTGCCATGCGACAGATGGCAGCAGAGGGGCAGTCTGACAGAATGGCGTCTGACATGGAAGAGCAGATGAAGCAAAGGTATGGCATTGAATTCCTCCATGCAGAAAAAATGGCACCCACAGACATTCATCAATGTTTGCTGAAAGTAAGGCGGTGGTGCACTCCAACAGTAGTGACAGTGGCTGAGGATCACAGCAGCATGCAGGCTCTTCTTCATTACTGATGAAAATGCACAGCTAACAGTGGTGAATTTGTTTCAAAAAAAGCCTATGCTCTGTAGCTGAGAATTTGCTCTATCAAACAGAATTACTTAGTATCTGTCACAGATTCCATGAACATAAATGGGAGGCATTACTTTTGGAATGACCCCAAACTATTCCTTTTCACTCAGTGAGGCCTAGGCAAGCTAAAAGATTGGACACCCATGACTTACGGCTTTTTCTGCAGTTCTCAACTAGCAAAAAGAAGTCTTTTGTTTCCACTTCCGACTCTTTAAAAAATTAAACTCTTAGAAGTGTAATGAGAAAGACTGGCTCAAAATAGGCATAAAGAAAGAGAGAAGATGATCTATTTGACGTATGTTTGAATTTTTAAAATGGTTTCGGACTGCACAGAAGTTACATGCTGAGAGACAAGATCACGCAGAATTGTTCAGTACAAAAAAAAAAAAAAAGTTATTTTAAAAGTACAAATCAGCTGAAGCACCCACAGACAAATCCAGATTATGGACAGAGACATACCTGCAACAAAACCAATCTCATTTGCCTGAGATTTAAAGCCATAATTACCATACTGCAAGTCAGGTAGAAGTGTTTGGCTAGAGAAGCAGTGAGCTATCTAACCTTGCTAACAACAAACTCTCAGCTGCATCTGACCCCTGGAACTAGGCTGTAGCAATGCTTAGTGGATATGCAACTCAGAGAGCAAGGACATTGGCTTTGCTTTACTTCCAATTCAAGGAGAAGCTGAAGATTAGCATTCAGAAAAAAAAACAAACATTTGAAATATAGCAGATTTTACTTCAACTGCCACCATTACACTACTATTCCAAACCAGTCAATAGAATAGAACCAAGCTGTATAAGAAAACAAAGAATGAAAGATGAAATCCATCACCTTTTCCTTCCATGCAACATGCAATTTGGGTTTCTAAGTACTGCACACTCTCTGAATGGGATGCTCATAGGGTAGAAGATACTATGCAACAAGATCAATCACAATCAATTCCAACATTTGGGGATAATTTGAAGGGGTTTTGAATGAAGTAGATTGATGTGCCTTGAAGCAAAACTAAAGGTATTTTGATATTACTTTAATAATTAGTGGATAATGCAAGTATCTTTTTCACTTAAACCTGAATTACAACTATGAAAACAAAACTGCACCAATGATGGC